GAGATATTGCAGTAAACAAAATACCATCCCAGTCAGAAAATGAAGGCTTTCGCCTAATCTCGTTACGAGAACAAAGAAAACAAAAAGAAGTGATATGAAAATGCTCCGTAAGGATCGAGGCTTGGATGTGGAAAGTCTTCTATACACATTATCAAATTATGGCTCGGAAAGAACGAGTTTTCGATTTGGGGGTGGGTAGGATAATATTTTCCATAGAAAAGCAATTCCGAATTTAAATTTAAATAGAAAAATGGAGAGGCCTTACTGTGTACGGTATCTACTGAAAATTTGGGGGAGATGAGCCGAAAAAGCTCCTTTTGCCTCTCTAATAAACGAAAATATAAATATTTCTCGATGAGAATGAATCACAAATTATGATATAAATTACAATTATATACTGAATAAAATATAATTTTGGCGTTAAACAAGCTTTCTTTTATTTGCACGTTGCAAATAATAATAAAAAAATAACACATTGACTTTATTCGCGGTCGTACAAATACAAATGATGCTGAATACTCAGGCTGCCAAATTTCTTGAAAACATACAAACCATTTCTTCTAAATGTACCTATCTTCTAAAGAGTTTGGCGATAACATTGACCCATCTTATTCTATTTACAGCAGCTCGAAATAGATCAGTTGACGTTAGACCAGTACACATCCTAAGATTGACCAGTCAGGATATACGTCTACGTCCAGGGCCTCTCTTACTCTCAATCTTGCCTTATGGAATCAACTGTAGAAGTCGGTATTTATCATTACACATGATGTGGCCAAAGTAAGCCAATTCTCTGTTCTTTACGATGGTTATAATCCTTTCTTATATCGTTACCATCGAGTCCTGATGTTTTTAGGATGTTGATTAGCTTCCCATGTGGGACTTTATCAAATTCCTTCTCGAATTCAATTAAATAATTCATAAATATATAATAATTCATACACATCGCAGTTGACATCCCTGGCTTTCTGTATTCATCATCATTGGCTTTTACAACTCTTCGTGAGTTTTTGCCGCGTTTACTATTGCCTTCCATTGATTCCGATCCTGTGCTATTATTTCCCATGGCCTTACTTCCATCTTCTCCAGGTCTTCCCTGAATGCGTCTTTCCACCTTTTTCTAGGCCTTCCTGTCGATCTTCTACCATCTGGTCTCTCCCAAAACACATTGCTAATCAGTCTGTCGTCATCACTCCGTACCACGTGGCCTGCCCATCTTAATCTATTGGCTTTTATGTATCTTACAATGTTTCCTTTCACGATGAGAGTCTCTATTTCATTGTTGTCTCTGCTCCTCCATTCATTTGTCACGATGTCCTTGCAAAGACCATATATAATTCGCAGGATTTTGCGTTCCCATACTAATAGCTTATTGATTTCTTTCTTTCTCAATATCCATGTTTCACTTCCATATGTCACTGCTGGTCGTATTATGGTTTTGTACATTTGGATTTTGGCACGCCTTGAGAGAAGCTTTGACCTCATTAGATGTTAAATGGCAAAGAATGATTTATTCCCCGCTAGTATTCGTATTTCAACCTCCCGTTCTCCTGTGTTTTCACTGGTAATTGTTGCTCCTAGGTATTTGAATTCTTTGGCCACCTCAAAATTATGATCGTTTATGGTAATGTTTTGTCTTATTCGCTGTCGTTCCTTTTTTGATACGACCATGTATTTAGGTTTTTCTTCGTTTATTTTCAGTCCTACGCTTAGTGTTAGTTCGATACTGTATCCTTAACTTCCAGTGTTGTCTGTGCTACTGCATCTACATCATCTGCAAATGCGAGAATAATCTTTGCTCCTCTGGCAGTTATGTCTGGTTTGACTCTGGTATAGATTTTTCGCATTGCGTATTCCAATGCTAGGTTAAATAGTAATGGGGACAGCGGGTCTCCCTGTCTGAGCCCGGTGCTTATGCCGAAAGCCTTTGAAGTTTTGCCTCCTATTCTAATTTGTGCAAAGGAATTGTTGACACACATTCGCGCAATCATGGTCAGCTTCTTTGGTACGCCTAATTCCATCATTGCACTCCACAGTTTTAAGCGATCTATGGAATCATATGCTCTTTGAAATCTATGAAGATCTGGTGTTCTTCTTTATTATATTCCCAATACTTTTCTAGCATTTGCCTGATAGTAAATATTTGGTCGATTGTTGATCTTCCAGGCCTAAAGCCGCATTGGTAATCGCCAATAAATTCCTCTGTATATGGCAGTAATGGTTTTAGTACAACTGAAGCTAATATCTTATATGTAGTACCGATTAGTGAGATTCCCCTGTAGTTGCCACATGTATCCTTTCTGCCTTTTTTATGTGTTGGCTTTCTGCTTTCTGTATTAGAACTTGCAAACTAAAAAGTGCTTTCCTGGTTCCAAGTCCTGCTCTGAATCCAAATTAAACTTCACTCAGGTGTTCTTTTAATTTGGTATATATGTCCGAGTGAATAACAGTAAGAAGTACTTTAAGTATATGGCTCATCAAACTAATTAATCTATGTTCTTCACATTTTCTAGCGTTTGATTTTTTAGGACGTGGAATGAATATTAATAGTAGCCAGTCTTTTGGAAAATAACCAGTCCCGTAGATGTTGTTGAATAGTTTCGTAAGAGCTGTGATTTAGTGTGCCTCTAATAGTTTTAAAATTTCACCACGCACCTCATCATGTCCTGGCGATTTCCCATATTTAATACAAACGTCACAAAATATTTTTGGTAGATCACAAATTAAAGTTGCATGAAGTAGTAGAAGAGTTTGGCAGCAGTTTAGGTTTAAGATGCAAAATGACACCATTAAACATACTCGTAAGTTGGTAAAAACTATCAAAAATTTTTTCAAACATAAAAGTTTATATAAAGCTGCAGTTTAGGGTGCCTGTCAGACATTTGACAAAGTATGGCATAAAAATCAAATAAAAACCTTAGGTTACTGTTAATATATTATTTGTGTATTTGTAGATTCATCAAAGGCATTTGACACTTTCTCGCATAAAATATTGCTAAATAAACTTAAAAAATATGGCATTCGAGGGCCTGCATATAATATCCTAGAAAATTATCGTCTAAATATGTAACAACATTTTATATAGATGGAGAAATTAATAAGGAAATAATTATATTCTATGGAGTCCCGCAGGGAACAGTCTTAGGATCAATTCTTTTCAATATCTACATCATTGATATATTCAGATTAAATGTTAGAGGCAAATTGTATTCTATGATGCCAATGAGTGATAATATGTAAAATAAAAAGTCAAAATAGAATTTGCTACAATTCAGACATGTTTTCAGTTTAGTGAGCTTACCTGAAATGTATATAAAACAAAATAAATGCCATTTACAAATAAAATTCCATAGAGGCATTGTTCATATTTGCTAGCGCATCTGGTCAACTGTCTCTTTTTTAAGGTTTCGATTAATGCAAGTGTTTCTTAGTACGTACCATGAAGCATCATAGCTATTCATTAGCATTTTGTTATGAAACCTCTGGATTACTTTTATTTCTAACCTATTATCTAAAGGCTTAAGCTAGATCCAGCAATACTCTGAACAAACTTTTTACCTTATGAACCTGTACTATAGATAAATGACTTTCTGAGCCAAACATGGATACAAGGGAAAGCTTTGTTTCTTTAACTATTATTTTTTGGCATTTTAGTAAAAGCTTTTCATTGTGTTGAAACATACTTAAGTTTGTAATGTATTTATTACATTATTTATGTTTACTCTCACTTTTTGCGAAGGTTGTTTTAATATTTCTCCTGTCATCAGATTATATCCGGAGTATTCTTATGACTTAACCGCAAAGAATTGGTGATGTAGAAAAAGATATTAAGATGTTAAGGATCAGAAGATTAAGGGAAGGAGCCAATAATAATGATAATTACTTTTATTTTATTTAGGAGTTACAAATTTAACTTCTGGTTTATTTTATGTCGTTCCATTTCTCCACATCATATTTAATAAAATATGTTTTCCAATTTTCTGCAAAACGTTTAGCTTGTTACAATTTTTTAGTACAATCTGTCTTTCTCATTAAAGGGCTTTTCACCTAAGATCGAAAGAGGCAAAAAGAAAGCTGAAAATCAGATGAAACAGACCCCAATTGAAACACGCGGAGCATCCAATAGAGTAAAGCTGGACAGAACACTTACATATAAAGCACACTGCCAAAAGACCGCTCTGTAGGTAGCATCCCGTAACAACGTACTTTGCAAACTCCGATACTCTATATAGAGTGGATAGCCGAACGCCCTCCTAACTACAGCAAAGAATCTTAGCTTCTCCGCAATCGAGTATGCAAGCCCTGTATAGAGTATGGAGCACACGCTATGAAAGTGGATGTAGCTCTAAATAAAGCATGCCGAATACCAACAGAGTGTCTAAAAGAAACGCTGTAGAAAAACTATATCAGTGTGTCGAAATAGAACGACCTCACATGCAAAGACGAACCACGGAGTACACCGAGTGCTTCAGACAGTCATTTGACGACAGATATGTGATGTTTGGTGTGGTAGAGTACTCACATGACAACCTGTGGCTGAAATCCAAAAAAGGTTTCCTCAGTAGCATTCCCGTGGACCCTCCAGACTGGTATCCCCCGAAACCAAACACATCGACTGGTCTAAATTGTGACTGAAAGATATGGGCAATACTGAACCAAATGAGATCGGCCGTGGCTATGCACGATGGATGACCTTCGTCCATCAAGGTAATAAAGTGTACCTAATTCTGGGTCGAACACTTAAAATGATCACGCTTGGACACGAAAGAGTAAAGTAAGTGATGTAAGATGTTAAAAAATCTTGATGAGAAAATAATTCTTTTAAATAGGAGAAGATGGTTTTTATTGGAGTTGGGCCAACAATTAATTACGAAAAATATAATTTGTGGCTAAAAAAAAATGACAAATTATTACATTCCAGTGGAAATCAACTTAATTTTACCGTTTTACCAGAATTAAAGGTAAGGAATAAATAACTTGTAAATTAATGTTATTACCAGATGGCAGCGATGTTTTTGTGCGCCAAAAGTAAAGACAGGAGATCGAGAAAGTTTTGTAATATGTGCAATCAATACGTATGTAAGTGCAGAATATTCAAAAAATATAACAGTTCATAACAAGAGTGATAATTAAATTTTTATTTAAAATCTCACAGCATCCTATTTTTTGACTTTTATTTTTCTTCTTCAATCTACAAACATTTCTTTGTATTTTTTAAAATGTGTCTAACCGTACTACACGGTATTTAATGTAAGTTTTTAACCATGGGTTTATGAAAGTTAATTACACATAAATCACTTTGATCATCACTTTCAATGTTTCTTTGAAACTAGGGCAGATTAAAATAAAGAGTAATCTCATAGTTCCAATATTTTGAGTTTATTACAAAAACATTCATGTTTGCTTCAGAAAAGTATGTAGACTATACGTTTTTTGTGTAATAGAATAATATCATACGAAATATTATTTTGTAATTTTTAAAACATTAATTTAGTTGAAATTCTTCTAAATTTTTGTTGATAAAACTTCCTGGAATTTTGTTTCTTTGGGACCTTCGTAAAATTGCGGCGATTTTTTTATGTCATCTCGAAAACACTCCGTCAGCTGTTACGCTGAAAAACAAATGAAGATCTATTAAACGTTCAAGTTACACGATCGTTAATAGAGTCATAAACAATAGTCTCGCCATATGGTTATCAAAAACCAAAACATTCGAATCGGTCGTAAAGGAACTTTTTACTCTTAGTTTTATGGAATTTTGAAAAGAAGGAATTTTGAGTGCTTTTATCGTTCAAAGTCTTAAAGATTGTTCCTTTTTTTTATGTGTTAGGGAAGAAATATAATTTTAACGATAAAGTTGGAATATTACTTTTTATAGGCCGTCTTTTTGGGGTTATCGGCGGGAGAAGTCGTAATCTTGAAATGGAAAACAGGTTACAAATAACAACTTAATTTTTATTCGAGTTTTCTCGGCGGTTATTACAAAAGACACTTAGGATGAATTGACGGATAAAAATAAATACGAAAAGTAGATTTTTACAAATTTCTTTATGATTATTAAAAAACCTCAGTAACTATTGGATCTTTTGAATACCTGAAAGTTCTTAGTGATTATTTGAATTAGTTAAATCGACAAAAGATGTAGAGCTAGAAGACAAAACTGTTCAAAATAGTTAAACAAGCAGTCGTTGTACAAACACTAAAAGTATTAAATAAACTACACTGAGAGATACAGAATATCAGACTACGTCGACAATAATTGGTCATTTAGTATATTTTATAAATCTTAAGAAAGAAAATCATACAGTACTAAAAAGGGCCGGATCTGATTGATTTGACAAAATTCGGCACAGCTTTTGCAATAAAAAAATCTTAATTTTATGCAACATAAAAAATATGAAAATAGTCAGTTTATCGTCTTTGTTTTCATCATCATTATTCTGGCTATGGATGCAGTAATAATAAAAATTAGAAATAAAAAAGGATACCAAATGGGAGAAAAACAACTCTCTCAAAGGGAAGATGATTTACAACGTATGCTGCACCAATTTAATATAACCGCCAGAAAATGTAACATGTTACTTTCCCCAAAAAAGACAAAATGCATGGTTATAACAGCAAATTTCTGGCTGATTGGTCTTTACCAAAGCCATCTAATTAAGTAAAAAAAAATAACAGCAAATTTACTAAAATGTAAATTGGACCTGGCAGGTCAGATACTAGAACAAGTGACCAGGACTTTAAATATCTAGTCATCACATTATCTAGCTATGGAAAGCTCGAAACTGAAGTGAATATGTGAATCATCAATCGAAGATCAAGTGAATAGAGCAAGCAGAGTCGCAGGCTGCCTGAATGAAACAATTTCGAGAAATAAAAATATTGGGAAAGAAATAAAAGGGAGAATTTACAAAACAGTTCATAACAATGATGACATACTCAGCAAAAAACGCCGACAGCAGATATACGACGTAGATGCAAGGTGGACAACATCAAAAACTGGCTTAGAAATAGAAGAGTACAATGGAACGATCGTATAAGCCGAATGGCAACATATAGAGTAGTGAAAACGGCAAGAAACGATTCCCAAATAGGAAGACGATCGATAGAAAGACAACGAAAAAGGTGTAACGACAACTTACTGGAGGCACATTAAAAAACAGACAAAGTCATGTCTACATAAAGAGGAGAAGAAGAAGATAAGTTAGGCTTTACAACCCTGCTTGGGTCCTAGCCTTCTCAAGAATTACTCTCCAGTCGTCCCTATCAATTGCCTTTCTTCGCCAAATACGTATTCCCTTATTTCTGTCATGTCTTCATTTAGTCTAGGCTGGATCTGTTCAAACAAACCCTTTGCTAAATTTTTTATTTAACAAAATCTGAAAACAATTGAAAATTTCTCATTGTTTTTGCTCCTATTTTCGTTTATAATTCGGAAAATGTTGATCCTAAAAAAAAATTAGAAGAAGTTAAAACTTTCGGTATTTAATTTTACACAATATTTCGTTAGCTAGAAATTGAAAATTTAATGTTTATTGTTGAAAAATAGAAATAATTAGAAACAAAAATTCAAAAAAATGAAGTTAATCCTTTAAATGTTTTCGACTTTCTAAACTTAACTTACAAGCTCCATATTCCGCCTAGAAAAACTTTTTCTTCTTCTTCTTAGGGTGCCTGTCCGTTCCGAACGTTGGCGATCATTCTGGCTATGATGATTTTGTTGGTTGCTATACGAAATAGCTGTGTTGAGGTCTTTCTATACCATGCTCTCAGGTTAGCAAGCCAGGATATTCTTCTTCGTCCTGGGGCTCTTTTTCCTTCAATTTTACCCTGCAAAATGCATTGGAGTAGCTTGTATCTGCATTTCTCATAATATGTCCCAAGTACTCCAGCTTACGGCTCTTCACAATGTTGACCAAATCCGCGGTTGTGTTCATCCTCCGCAGTACTTCTTCATTGGTGACTTTGTCAGTCCATGGTATCTTCAGGATTCTTCTGTATAACCATAATTCAAACGCCTGAGTTTTGATAGAGTTTCCGCCGTCAATGTCCACTTTTGTACTCCATACAGAAGCACTGAGTATACGTAACATTTAAGGAGCCTTATTTTTATTTTCACGGTGAGGTCATGGCTTTTGAACACCGAGCTCATAGCCAAGAATGCACTTTTGGCCTTTCCGATGCGACATTTAATCTCTTGGGTATTGTCCCACGACTCATTGATTATAGTTCCCAAGTAATTGTATTGTGAGACACGTTCAATTCTCATTTGATTTACATACAGATTTGCTCCAGTTATGTTTTACTTGCTGATGATCATTAGCTTGGTTTTGTTGGTGTTTATATCCAGTCCATAGGTTCTACTTGTTTCTGTTATTTTGTTCATTAAGTTTTGCAGCCCTTCTATGGTATTGGAAAACACTATTGTATCATCTGCATACCGCAGGTTATTAAGCTTGACTCCATTTATTGAGATGCCTTCATCAATATCTTTTAGGGCCTATTCAAAAATGTGCTCTGAGTACAGATTGAATATCAGTGTTGAAATTATGCACCCCTGTCTCACTCCTCTTAAGATTTTGACCTGTTTGTGTGACCAATCAGGCATGCAAAAACATTACAGCTGACATCTCTACATTTCTGAAACAAGATCTGCACGCTAAATAAAGCTTCCCTCGTACCAACGGCGTTCACAAATCCAAACTGATTGGGCGCAATTTGTTCCTCGCATTTTCGGTAAATTCTTTTGTGGATGACCTTTAAAAACAGCTTCAACAGATGGCTCATTAGGCTTATTGTCCTATAATCTTCACAAACTTTCGCTCCTGGTTTTTTGGGCAATGGTACGAACTCCGATTTGAGCCACTCTACTGGTATTTTTCCTGCCTTGTATATTTCATTAAATATATCAGTTATTATTTTTATTTGTTCCGTATCTAATAGCTTCACCTGTTCTGCAGGAATTTCATCAAGTCCCGGTGTCTTTCCATCCTTCATTTGTCTGACGGCTGCCGTTATTTCTTCTGGTAGGATTTCGGGACCTGAATTTTCTTCAACGGTGGGCTCTTGTACTGTTCTAAGGTCATGGAAAAGTTTCTCCAAGTATTCTTTCCATACTTTTTTTTTATCTTCTTCGGTTATGGCAAGATTGCCTTCATTATCTGTTATTTTTTCGCTGTTGCGTTTTCGAAACTTTCCAGCTATTTCCTTCACCTTTCGATGAACATTGAAGTTATCATATCGACTCTGATACTCTTCTATTTCTTGACATTGTTCTGTTTTTTGTTTGTGTTTGGCTTCTCTTATTTTTATTCTGACGATTGTATGTATTCTTTTATATTCTTGGAGATTTTTTTTGTTTTTTTTTTCTCTGATCCATAAGCTCAAGTATTTCATCGGTCATCCACGATTTGCGTTTCTCTGTGTCTTTTTTCAGGTGTTGTTCTTTTATTTTTCTCACTGTTTCTTGTATGATGGTCAGACTTTCCTCTGTAGTTTCTGCATTTTTGCATGTTAGCACCCTTGTATTGAGGTTTCCACTCACCTTCAGTCGAACATTGGGATCTTTCAGTTTTCTAAAATCATACTTCTTCATCGACTTACTTGTAACCTTCTTCATTCTGACTTTGAAATTACCTACAACTGGTACATGATCAGAGTTTATGTCTGACCCCGGGTATGTTTGGACAGATGTGCAGCTGTTCCTATACCTCTTATTTACTAGAATGTAATCAATCTGATTTCTTACAATCTTTCCCACAGTATCCTGTGGAGATTTCTAGGTGTACAATTTCCTTGGGTGTAGCTTAAACCAGGTGTTCATTATTACTAATTTATTTGCCTCCGCAAAAATCTATAATTTATCTCCCCGATCATTCCGGTTTCCTAGACCAAATGGTCCAACTGCAGATGATGTTTTGCTGGCTCCAACTTTGGCATTGAAATCACCCATAACAATTGTTATTTCTTACTTTTTTTTAACCTTTTCAGGACTTAATTAATGCTATGGTATAGTTCTTCTATCTCTTCTTCTGCTCCTTCTGTTGTAGGTGCATATACTTGAATTATATTAATGTTGA